GATTGATGGATGGATGGATGGATGGATGGATGGATGGATGGATGGATGGATGGATGGATGGATGGATGGATGGATGGATGGATGGAAATAATATAGCCTTTGTTTAGACAGGTTTCTGCTGCATTACATCATCAAATTTTAAACATGTAAATCAGTTTAAAATCAGTTTGTAATAAACTTTAGGACAATGTGAGCAGGTGGATTTTAACCTGTTAATATAAGTGGTAAAGCTTATTGTGGGTCTATTTTTAAAGAATCTAGTCAAAATTAGCTGGATTTACTAAAATCTCATATCCGTTTTAATTCCCGTCCGTCTCTTTAGTGATTACCTGTTTAAGCTTCTTCTAATTGGCGACTCTGGAGTTGGAAAGTCTTGTCTTCTGCTGCGTTTTGCGGTAAGGACCGCTTATTTTTATTGGAAAAGGAAAAAGATCCCAAGCATGCTGAATTAATGAAGATAAAAACGCTTCCACTCGATTCAGGACGACACCTACACTGAGAGCTACATCTCAACCATTGGAGTTGACTTCAAGATCAGGACCATCGACATGGATGGGAAGACAGTGAAGCTGCAGATTGTGAGTTTGAAAAGTTACTGTGAAGCCATTTCATGCGCTCTGTTTAAACAAAGGATTTAGAAAGTGAACGCTTTCAAAACAAACTCTTCCCGCAGCTCTTTGCAATACAACTGGTATGCATTCAAGGCATTCTATTTTTGTCCTCAGTGGGACACTGCAGGCCAAGAGAGGTTTCGAACAATCACCTCCAGCTATTACAGAGGAGCACATGGTATCATCATTGTTTACGACGTCACAGAGCAGGTCAGTGTGTGTTTTATCTTCTCTATCCTTTCAGTAAAATAGGAGGGTTTAAACATTAACAGTGGAGCTTCCCCTGCTTCCTCAGGAGTCCTTCAACAATGTAAAGCAGTGGCTGGACGAGATAGAGCGTTATGCCTGTGAGAACGTCTCCAGGCTGCTGGTGGGAAACAAATCGGACCTGGTTGGTAAGAAAGTGGTGGATGCTGCCACAGCTCAGGTAAACAGGACAGACACAATGGTTCCTCTAAAAGCAGATTAAGGATCTATTAACTCATTGGATTCCTCATAAAATTCGGGTTATAATAAAGTTCTGAACTGAATCCCTAGTGCCACAACATATCATGTGTATATTACGCTTAGCTTCTTTTAGGAAATAGTTGCCATGATAGATATATGAAACAGTGGATTTTTTCCTCTTTTTATCTGGATTATCTTTCAAAAATAAGTGTGGAATGGAATGGTCTTCGGGCCAGAGTTAAAACCAAACATTTAAGGCAAAAGATAAGATAAGATAAGAGATAAAACAAGATAAGAGAAAAGCGATCTATGTTACCATATGTCTCAATGCTTTTGTTTTGCCGTTTCATTGTTGTTTTTATAAACTAACAAATTACCTTGATGTGCTTTTATCAGCTACAAACTTTTGCATTTTCCACACTATCAGGATTTGGCCTTATCCCTGAAGATCCCCTTCCTTGAGACCAGTGCCAAGAGCTCTGACAACGTGGAGAAGGCCTTCCTCACCATGGCCTCTGAGATCCACAAGCGGCTGGCCAGTGAAGGAGGGGGCATGCAGGGTGTGTCGACACAGGCCAGGGGTCAGACCACCAAGATCAACAGCGCACCCGTGTGGCTCGGTGGGGACAAACAGACGCCGGAGACCAGTACCTGCTGCTGAGGGAAACACGTCCACATCAATTATCTCCAGGGCTAAATGTATACCCAATTGCACTTATTGTCATGTTTACTGTTAAAGTTTAAACATAAAACTAGGATGCTGGAAAGTTGTTTTTTCAACAATCTTTCTTGTAGCAGTATGGGGGAAAGTAAATGAAAGGGAATGTTTTTTTTTAAGCTATGACAACTTAGAAAGTTGAACCAAAAAGCTGTTATATGAGCTAACTGATAATAAAAAGAATGTATAATGAACGTTTATTTCTTATGGTTATGAGTTTTTTTTAATATGTTTTGGTTTGCGTATCTCCCCATATAAAATAACTAATTCAGATCAAAAAGCATATTTCAGCTAAATATCTTTCAATTTATCACCAGGTTCTTCTTGGTGGAGCAGGAGGAGCACTGCCAGAGCCCTATAAAATGTTCTCCAGCAGGCCAATGGTGTGAATGTCTCTGACCAAACAATCAGAAACAGACTTCACGATGGGGGCCTGAGGGCCCAATGTCCTCTAGTGGGCCCTGTGCTCACTGCCCGGCACCGTGGAGCACGACTGGCATTTGCCACAGAACACCGTTATTGGCAAGTCCGCCACTGGCGCCCTGTGCTTTTCACAGATGTGAGCAGGTTAGTCCTGAGCACATGAGACAGACGTGAAATGGTCTGGAGAATGTTATGCTGCCTGTAGCATCGTTCCGCATGACCGGTTTGGTGGTGGGTCAGTGATGGTCTGGGGAGGCATATCCACGGAGGGACGCACAGACCTATACCTTGGATTCCTTCAAAATATTCAGTTTTTAAAAAATAATATTAATAATATTATATTAATAATAATATGACCAACTGTATCAAATGCAGCACTGAGATCTAACAGGACAAGTACAGATAGCTCATTTTCCTTTACACAGGAAAAGGAGGTACCGTAGAATGTGTACCAGCGTTGTCTATGTACCTTGCAAATCAGCACATTATCTGTGAAATACTGGACAGTCAGTCAGGTTTCAGTGAATAGTGTCAGGAATAAACTGCCAGATTTCAGTTTTTGCACCCTCTCTGTTCATCAAAAAGGGTTCAATGGGGAAGATAGAAAAATGGAATAGAAGTGTAATTTAACACCTCTGTCATTTAATAGAATCCCAAATAGGAAACAGATTCAGAGATGTACCGCCATCTAGCGGAGACTTGGTGAAATACACATTATTTAGAAAAGATTAAACTATTTATCATGCAATAATGGGAAAATAAGTGTGTGAAGGTGGCAAAACAAGAAGTAAGGTGTAAACTTTTATTAAAATGTTAAAAATTTACTTCATAGCAAAGGGGGGAAACGTCACGAAATAAAAAATGTGAATTTGGACCTACGCACGACACATTGTGCGTAGGTATAAAAAAATTGGATTCTTAGATTAAATGAAAATGTTCAACATAAAGATGACAAAAGCAGGGTGTTAGAGAATATAAGGTGGAGAACTTTGAGAATAACGAAAAAGGAGGCAAAAAACCCCACCTTATTACTCAGTTAAAAGTGGCAGCTTGTGTGTGAACCTTAATTGATCTGTTGGGATTCCTAAAAGAAGTTTAGAGAAAGTTCTTTGTAAATTCGCTGTTCGGTTGTCTTTCAGTGTAGAATATCTGCAGTTAAAATTTTTCAATAATGTATTTTATTTCAAGTGATTTTTCTCCCACATAATGGAATAGTTTAGACTAATAATAATAACAACAATGTCATTATTATTATTATTATTATTATTATTATTATTATTATTATGAGTGGTAGTAGTAGCATCATTATTATGTATAATTAAAGAGGGAATATTTACAGAAACAAAAAATATTTTCATATCGGCATTAGAAGATGATGGAAAAGGACTTTCTGAATTAATGACTGTGAAGGGTAATAAAACAACTTTTACCAGAAACGCAGAGACCATGTTCTTTATCACAGCTATAACAAAAATCATATACTAAATCATTTTCATGATAAAATTATAAAAGATTTATAATAATTATTTAATAAACACTGTTTAGATTTCATGATAAAACGAGCCTAAAACAATAAGAAAAACTACATTTCCCTTCAATCACTTAAACATAGCATCACCGGAAGTTTGCGGTGTGAGTATAAAATCATTTCCGCATCCTTCCTGGGTCCTTTCCTGTCTACGGCCCATTGGAAGATGGCGGTGCAAATCTCCAAGAAGAGGAAGGTTAGCGGCATTTTATCACATTTTCTCGCCCAGATAACGAGTTTCTCATAAAATGGGGCTGTATCCCGAAGGATAGAAGTGTTCGCTGTTGGTTCTGCTGTCAGCTAGACCTGTACAGCTCCGATCCGCAAAGGATTGCTCTAGATGCTTCGGCAGTGGTGCGTCCTCCTCATTTAGATAGCTAGCATGGCTGTTTTACCGGGGCCTCAGTTAAACCTTATAATAATCCAGATTTTATTTAGAAAATATTGAGATAGACGGCCTAATAACTCTAAAACACGTTTTTCTTATAGCTAAACTGGCAGCTCGTCAAACTGCGTCCAGTGTCTTCTAATACTGAAGTTGGCTTTTGTACACCTAATGATACACTGACATTTTGGTTGATGAGGAAACTATCCAGATACTATTTCTATTAATGAAAGTAGAATAACGCCATTAAACTTGTGATAAGAGAAAAACAACGGTTTCGTGAAACAGCACATCCTCAGCTCACCTTACTCTAATTTAGGTCCCTGTGATAGTTATAACAGACTATTAATAAATTAATACTCTATTTTCATTGTGTTCCAACGTTTCTGCAATATTGTTAGACATTTAATTTTATATCTTTATAGAATATACTCAAATGTGTCCTAAAAAATTGTAGGTTAGAAGTCTGAATCATGACTGATATGTTTAATTCTAAGAATGGCAAGTTGATTTGTGTAGCACTTTTTTACCAACAAGACTGTTTAAATTGCTTTACATGATAAATACAGAAAACTTATTGTGCAATGCATCTATATCAGTGCTTATAAATATTGGCTTCCCTGCTGTATAGATCTCTGGATCTCCAGTCTGTAGAGAATTGTCTTTTGATCTGTACTATAACTTTCAGAAATGCATTTATATAATTTCATGGGTCAGCAGCCAATAATGTTTGTTTTTAAAAATAAAAGGAATGTATTCTCCTCTTAGTTCGTCGCAGACGGTATCTTCAAGGCCGAGCTGAACGAGTTCCTGACTCGTGAGCTTGCTGAGGATGGATACTCCGGTGTGGAGGTGCGCGTGACCCCAACCAGGACAGAGATCATCATCCTGGCCACAAGGTCAGTGCCGATCAAACACTTGGTCTTTTCAGGCCATTACGATGAATTTTCACTTGTTTCCTGTAATTAGATTACTATTTTTTGTATGTGTGTTTCCATTATGTCTTAAAATCTATTCTGCTGAGCAGGACTGAAGAGGGAAAGTGGGTTGTATTTTAATCCATCTGTGTCTAGGATATGTTTGAGCAGATGCATCAGAGATGTTTCTCCGTGTGTCACCTCTGTTTTGTCCACATTTCTGCACAGCTCAGTGTATCTTTCTCTCTGCAGGACCCAGAATGTTTTGGGAGAGAAGGGCCGTCGCATCAGAGAGCTGACTGCTGTGGTCCAGAAGAGGTTTGGCTTCCCTGAGGGCAGTGTGGAGGTAGGTTACCCACTACAGCCTGCAATCAAACAACCACATTTTCTTTTCAAAATTCAGCCTCAAGAGACAAAATAAATTCAACATTTATTGTTGTTGAGACTGATTTCATTGAAACATTATTGATATAAAGTTGATTATTTATGATGGAAATGTTTTGCACCAATCAAAATCTTAAGAGTTGTTTTACTTTGTTTATGCAAAGTCTGATTCCCCTTCTGTGATGATTCGATGACGAGACGGAGTAGGAACTTCTCTGGTTCTGAAGGTGACCGGTTCATGATCACGTTCTGTGGTTTTGCTCCAGTTCTTCAGATTCAGGGTTCCTTTTAACGTGAAGACACAGAGGCATTTGTCTGAGAAGGGTTGAAATCAGAGCTCCATGTATATTATAAACATAAAGGCTACAGCTGTTCAATTTCACTGCTGCAAACTTCCTTTTATGTCTTTTATCCTGTTTACTGTAGATGCTTAAGTTTGAAATGTTTTTCTTTTTTTAGTTGTATGCTGAAAAAGTTGCCACTCGTGGTCTTTGTGCCATCGCCCAGGCTGAGTCTCTGCGCTACAAGCTGCTGGGAGGCCTGGCCGTACGAAGGTAAGCAGTGCTGTAATGTAACGTGCTAGAACAGCAGCGCTTAAAGAACCCCCAACCCTGATATTTGGTGGTCTCTATTGGGGCGCAGGAAATTAAAGTTGAAGCTGGAGATGCTGATTTGAATGCTAATTTCTCTTTATAAAAATGAGTGTGGAAAGAGAAGCTGTTAATGTACCCCTAGTCAGAAAGTCAGTGTCAAACACTTTTATTTCACTCAACACAGTTAAGGGCTGCACAGTTCAAGATTAACTGAAATTCTTCCAGATAGAACTAATTGGATTACTGTAAACTGGCATTTCTGGCAGCTCTGTAAAGTTGGGTCTGCTTGCAGAAAAACTTAGACATGTGGAGGATAAAGCTGTGCATGTTGCAGTGGTTGGTGTCAAGCTAATTCCAGAAAGGGCCGTGTGGTTTTCTTTCCAACCAAACAATAGCACACCAGACTTCAGTCATCTCATCAACTCATCATGTTCAGATTGGACTGATTTAATGAGATGACTGGAGTCTGGTGTGCCATTGCTTGGTTGGAAAGAAAACGTGCAGCCACACGGCCCTTTCTGGAACCAGTTTGACAATCTTGTTTTGGAGGCTTCTGTGGAAATGTAGGTATTTCTGCACATAACTCCAGTAAATCCTAGAAGGTTTGATATAAAGGTGAAATGTTTGCTATGCCTAATTAAGTGCCCCTTCGGTGATGATACGATGACGAGTCGGAACGGGTCTCTGTCTCGTTTTGGTGGCTGGTTCAGATTCACGTTCTGTGGTTCTGCTCCAGTTCATCAGGACAGCGAGGCCCCTTCGCTTGAAGACATTGAGGCATTTGTCTGAGAAGGGTTGAAATTTTGCTGATACTGAAGCCTAAAGGGCTTTAATAAAAAGTTCTTGACACTTAATTTTTGTGATTACTTTGCATCATATGTCTGTGCAGTCGGTTTTAAACAGATGTATTTATTTTTAAGCACACGTGTTGTTTAGCGATTAAGTTTTATCTGCTTTAAATGTCCAGGGCCTGCTATGGTGTTCTGAGATTTATCATGGAGAGCGGGGCCAAGGGCTGCGAGGTGGTGGTGTCTGGCAAGCTGAGGGGTCAGAGGGCCAAGTCCATGAAGTTTGTGGATGGCCTGATGATCCACAGTGGAGACCCCGTCAACTACTATGTTGACACAGCAGTTCGCCATGTGCTGCTGAGGCAGGGTGAGTACCCTCCCATTCTATCAAGTCCTGAGACTGCTGAACTAAAATAATGATCAAAATTACTCCATAGTTGTATGTCAGTCAGCAGAAGTACTGCTTTGCTAAATCTCTGAATGTTGTGGCTTTTCTGCCATACTCAGGTGTGCTGGGAATTAAGGTGAAGATCATGCTGCCCTGGGACCCCAGCGGTAAGATTGGCCCCAAGAAGCCCCTGCCTGACCATGTCAGCATTGTGGAGCCAAAGGAGGAGAATGTTCCCACCACACCCACATCAGAGCAGAAGGGAGCCAAGCCAGAGGTGCCCGTCATGCCCCAGGGAGTACCCGTACCTACCGCATAAATGGGTAAGACACTGCAGGGGCCCCTTTTACAGCGTTTGTCACATTTCTAAACCATTTAGTGGTAGTCTGTGTTCTTATGCACTATGGAAGTAGAAACAAACAGCTGTAGCCATAAACATTTATGCATACTTCCTGGGTCTTAAGTAAAAGTCATGAGAAAATAACTTTGATTCTGTGCTTTAGGGCCCTGTCACACCATGCCGATTTAGGCAGCATGTGCCCGAAGTCCCAGAATGTCGTAATATGCCGGAGGTCTCTATTAAGCGGGTGCATGAAACTAAAGTTGAAGCTGGAGATGCTGTATTTTTTTTACAATTTTGAGCGCATCCATAGCATATTCATAACAAGACCAGAATTTGTCTGACAGCCTTACTTATGCATAACATACAGCAGTGTACTGCAAATGAAATTATGCATGTGCATCGTTTCATGGGCATTACGCAGCATCAGTTAAAGCTGCTCCCCTCAGGCACATCGCTGTTCCTGACGGGAGCAATGATGATACCTCCCGCCCCCCAAAAAATTAATTAAAAAAAGGAAAAGGTTTGCAGTCGCAGCAGATTCAGCATCATGTCTGCTAGGAAGTTTGTTGGTCGTGGCCGTGAACGCATGGGGGATCCATCACATTCACCTTCTCTCTCACCCTATGATGGGGATGCAGTCTGCAGGAGAAGTTACTCATGGATATGGATAAGCTGGACGCCACAACTTGCACTTAACGTATGTCAGGGATGAGATAACTTACCTGTAACTTATGCCCGACGTACGGCATACGCTGGCATATGCAATGCTCAAAATTTCCCTATGTATTTGCCATGTCAACACGTGCCAGCATGTTTCAGCTCATAACTTAAACAAAACATAACTTATCCGACATATGCCGATTTTCCATACTTCAGTTAAACGCTGGTCTAAATCGTCAAGGTGTGACGGGGGCTTTTAAGTCAGTGATGGTGGTTCTGGCCATGTGGCTGAGAAAGGCTGAGAGTTACAATAACTGTCACATTTAATACATTTACAGGCAGTAGAAATATGGCTGCTCTAATCTCAACAGCTAAGCTAACCTTATTAGGCAACCCTATTAGGCATATTTTAGAGGGGCTGATGTGGCTTTGAATTTACTGAACCCCAACTATCTGCTGGCCCTAAGAGATCCTTATCTGATTCCAAAATAGAGGGAGATGCTTTACTACTCTACTGCCTCCTAGTGGCTAAAAGTTACAGTTCTGCTTTATGAGATGAACTTTGGCTACTATTCATTAAGCACATCCAAACAAAGGGCTCTCATGATGTTCTTTTAGATTGTACACACATCAACCAAAAGTGTTAAGTGATTAACTTTAAAAAAATAAATAAATAAATTCAAGGACATTAAAAGAGAATTTTGTAATTTATCTGTCAAATTCAAAACTCTTACATCTTTCAAATAAGGAGCTATATGCCCCACTCCACTACTTCCTGAATGTCATTATTTCCTTTAATTACTGGACATACTGATTAATCAGGTGTGTCTGGCCAATGTCGTCATAGTTACTGATTTCTGACACACCTGGATTAATCAGTCTGTCCTGTGATGAACGAGAGGGAACAAACATGCTAGCTGAGGCTTATTAAGTAGTGGAGTTGGGCATATAGCCCATTGCTTGCATGTCTTTCCTTCTGAATAGAAAACGCTAGAATTCAGACTTTACATAAAACAGCAAATGAGAGCAAGAAAGGTCTGATTGGTGCATCTATAATTGCACTTTTATTTATTACTTTACTGATGCACCAACAACTTATTGGCTCACACTACAGTAAGAAATTAGTGCTTCAAGTAACACAGCAGGGGTAAATTTCTGAACATGGGGTTGGATGGAACAGTTTAGATGAAAAGCATTCACAGATGTTTTTATTTTGGGTATTCTCTGTGTTCCTTCTTTGATGACACGATGACGAGTCTGACCAGGTCTCATACTGGTTCTGGTTTTGACTGGTTCAGTTTCACGTTTTGTGGCTCTGCTCCAGTCAGTCAGACCGGTGGGATCATTAGTTGAAGACATCGAGGCATTTGTCTGAGAAGGGTTGATTTGACACAAAACATATTCAAAAATTCAGCCAAAACCAAAGCATTTCCATCCAATCATGTTGGAAAAATAAAAATATCTTTTTTTTTTTTTCTCGGCTAGATTATGATTATTAGTTTGACACAAAAATTTGCAAAAATTTTAACCCTGATTTTGTTTTGCAGGTTTTTGTCCTTCGTACTGGATGGATTGAAGACCCTGGTGTTTTTGTGTACAAAAGAATAAAATCTGGAAAATACACACAATGAGTTTTGGTCTTTATTTGCAAACTTTTATAACTTCTCTATCAATAAAAATTAAGACACACTTCTTGAAGCTTCACGAAGCACTAAAAACCTGCATGTAATGTGCAGACTTGGTGTCTGCATTTATTAATGCAAGGGTCTAGAAGCTTTAATGTTTTTGTTTTAATATATCAATCTTAACCAAAGTAGAGCTGCACTGCTCTGAATAAGTTTGTGAAAATGAAAAAACTAGACTGGAACATGTGGGTGTTGAAAGTAATGTGATGTTTGAGTAAGACAGAGTTGAGATGGTCACTCTGCTTCAGGTGGCTCCTTTATCAGAGTTAGAAGATTTTAAGATATTGAGAGTGAATCTTTTTTTTTTTCTTTTTACTGCAGAGATAAATGTGTTCAGTAATCAAACATTTCTAAGAAAATAATCTAAATTATAGATGCATTCAGTTCAATTATTTTCAGTGTGAGTGATATTAAGAGTTTAAAGAGGAAGTTGATGGCATGTAGGATATTTTCGACTATTGGTCAGACTGGTGGGTTTTAAAGCTCAGGATTTGCACACCTCTAGGTGTCTGAGGTGTGCAGGGAATATTGTTGCTGATCCCTTGCACCACAGCCACAAACTATTTCAGACACTTCCCTCTGGCAGGAGGCTGCTGTCCAACGCACCCTAAAACCTCTCAGAACAAGAACAGATTCTTCCCATCCGCTACCAGCCTTATCAACAAGGCCCAGAGACCCTCTTGACACTGCCTCTCTCCCGCCCCCCTTCAGGACCTAGAGGCTACACCAACGAAGCATCTCCTGGATCAACATTTCCTGAAGGAGAAAAAAAAAGACAATGAAAAATATTACATTTTCTGGTATTCTCCATTGTTATGGTCACTTTTAAACTGTATTCTGTTTGCTCTTTAAACTCCAGATAGAAAAGCAACACAATTATAGATTTTAAACAAATGTTATTGGTAATTGTTTTTAACTTGTCGATATTAAATAAGTGAAATGTCATTTTGTATACACAATATTTGTTACATGTAACAGATGTAACACGTTACAATATTTATTCACACCTATTATTAAATCATATTTCTGTCATGGTTTCTTTTACTGTTAAAATTAAAAATTTCCTATGTATGGGCTGATACTCATAAGATCAGTTTAAAAATAGGGAAAATATCGCGGAGTGAGACATCTCTATAGCGCACCATAGTTTGTTTATGGATCCGGGTTAGGCCACGCCCCCTTGGTTCTACCTGTTCCAGCTACTTGGTCCCACCTGGATCGGACGTTCAGAGTCACAAGATGAGTCTACCGGACTACAAATCAAGTGGAAAACAGGCTTCATCTGCGATATCAGTAAGAAAATAAACCCATTTCTTTGGTTTTTAGGTTATTTCTGTAAGTTGAGGGAACATTTCCCCTGTTAGAGCAAAAAGTGGCTGAGATCAGATCCGCATGTTTGTTTGAGCAAAATGACTATTTTAATGGGTCCATAATTCTACTCTAAATAAAACAAATTTCAGATGATTTACTGAGTCGTTCTAATAGCTGAACAGAAAGATAAGGTCTACATTTCAGGTTGGTTTCTCTCTTGAAATCAGATCTGACTGATGATCTTAAAGTTAAAAAAAGAGATGACCAAAACGCCCCAGTTGATTAAATAAGATGGCTTCATTGGTTCATTTTCACCTCAAATTTAAATGTGCTGAGGATCATCCTTCACTCCTGGTTCATGGGGATTCTCTCTCTCTTTTTTTTTTTTTGAAAGTGTGACAACAACCTTTCTTATAACTAAGTTGCACTGGCTTAAATCTCATAAAAGGTCTTTAACAGGATTGTTTAAGTCCTTTAATAATGTAACTTTGAGAGTTTGTTTTGTTCATAACTTTAGAGGTCAAATGGCTTTAAAGAAATCCCATATCATCATTGATCACCACTTGCAAAAACAGCTGACAACTAAGTGTCTCTGATAAACACAGTGAACACCTTACGTTCACTGTATTCAGCTTTCCCTACTCTTAAAGAAATTAGCATACATACACTTAGATGTTAATTTTATTTGCCATAAAGTTTAAGATTATTTTTTATTATTTATATTTAATATATGCCATGGCCCTCCATTTTTTTTCAGGCAGAAAAGATAACACTCCTCACAGCAGACTTTAAAAGGCAAGCAAGTTATCTAACACATTTCAGTAGCAAGACAATTAGAAGCTATGTAAATAATAGGACATATAGAATACGAAAATACATTGCAAGATAATAAAAAATGTATTGATGTTAAGATAAAAGAAGTTTAACTAATAATGTTTAGTACACTCTAAACAGATGGGTTTTTAATCTGGATTTTTAGCAATTTACCGCTTTTAAAATTTCTGGTATTTTGTTTTAGAGTATCGGATCAAAAGAACTAAAAACTGCTTTCCATGTTTAGTTTTGGCTCTGGGTGTGCAGAATAGACTTAAGCCAGACGATCTGAGAGGTCTGGGTGGTTGATCCACTGACAACACAATTTGCTTTGTATTTTGGAGTTAAGCCATGCAGCAGTTTAAAAGACAGCAGAAGCATTTGAACATCTACTATTTGAGAGACAGGAATTCAGTGTAGCGATTTCAGCACTGGGGTGATGTGTTTTAGTGAGTATGCTGGCAGCAGCATCCTGAAACATCATCTAAATAAGTGGTCCTCCTAATTGTCAATCATTCTGGTCATATGTTTACGTTAGGCGAATCTAAGTGCTATCTTTTTCTGTGCATGCACACTTTCAGCTGCATGTGTCGTGAGCTACGGTTTCAGTCATTGAAGCTCGCCTTTGTTACCCTGGTTCTTTCAAAATGGCAGAGGGTCGTAAGAGATAAGGTGTCCATGAAGTATATGAGAAGAAAAGAAATCCTCAGAAGAGGCAGATATATCCCAGAATGCTGATAGAAGGACGACTTTGTTTATCTCTATATGAGACTCTGAAGGCTCAGATCTGAGTCCATCCCTACACCCAGATTTAGAGCCTAATTGGTGGTTTATTGCTGTATTAAGAGAAGCTGTGCGCAAACTTTTGAACACTCTATTTTCCAAAAAATATTTCTCAATTTGTTTTACTGTTCAGCTGAAGAAATGTTTGTCACTTCCATGCTTTTATTTCTTCTCTGCATTTAGCCAGGGCTTCAGTAGGTTCATAGCCACCTGTAACCTTGTAATGTACAGTTGTGTGAGGTCTGCATAGTTGTGGTAATTTATTAAAATCCTCCACCTTCTCCACTTCTTCCCCCATGATGTTAATAGTGTTCAACTTTCCTCTTCCTTCTGAAATCCACAATCGTCAATCCGTGTTGATCAATGAACAATGTGTTTGGGTAATGAAGGAATTTTTCCAATTTTGATTTATGGGAAATTATTAGTGGTTTTTTTTGTGGTTTTCATGTTGTAGAACCTTAAAAGACGAAATAATTTCTTTTAATGTCATTAATAATGGTTTTACAGTCAACACCTGTGAGAAATATCTTTATGTAGATATAAATAAAAAAAAAAATTAAATGTCAACATTATATTCTTTAAAAATCTTTTGTCTGTTTGTGGTTGTTAACATCACTCTCCTCTCATCAGCCCTCTCCTGTCGTTCACTTGAATGTTGGGGGCTACCTGTTTAGCACCACACTGAGCACGCTGAGGAAACACCCAGACTCCAAGTTGGCTGAGCTGTTCAGCAGTCACCCCAAAGTCAGCACAGATGGACAGGGACGCTTCTTCATTGACCGTGACGGTTCCCACTTTGGAGCCGTTCTGGAGTTCCTGAGGTCGGAGAAGCTGCCAACGGAGAACATCCGTGAAGTTTACAAAGAGGCTGTCCACTACAAAATCAAACCACTTATCAAACGACTGGAGGAGACGCCTGAGCTGTTTGGAGAGCTGGTGGGACGGCAGCAGTTCCTCTCCAAGGTCCGGCACTACCAAGAAAACATTGAGGTCAGATGGATACTATTAATTAGTGGTTCTATTTCATCCCTACTGACCGCCAGAGGTGGTGCTTCAAGCACTGAATGATCACTCTTGCTCAGGTCGAAAATGAGTATCAACAAAGTCACCTGTGACCTACCAGTGATCAATATAAATCTATAAGTGTGTTCAATTTCAAAGGGTGCGTCCTCCAAGGACGTGTAAGAGAACTTGCACTGTGTGGAGGTGTACAAATTTGTGTGTCTTTAGACAGCTCTTTGGTCTTGGCCATGTTAGCAGTTGGGTTCTTACTGATTGTATCAGGTAGACAGGTGTCTTTATGCAGCTAACGACCTCAAACAGGTGCATCTGATTTAGGATTAGTAAGTAGAGTGGAGGTGGACATTTTGAAGGCAGGCTAACAGGTCTTTGAGGGTCAGAATTCTAGCTGATAGACAGGTGTTCAAATAACGTTTTGCAGCTGTATCATAAAAATAAATAGTTAAAAATGTATCTATTGTGATTATGGGATTTTTATTTTTTAGATTCTCTCACAGTGGACATCCACCTATGATGACAATTTCAGACCCCTCCATGATTTCTAAGTGGGAGAAATTGCAAAATAGCAGGATGTTCAAATACTTTTAATGGACTGAGGGGTAGAGCTGCAAGACAGAAGCTTGTTCCCTCCAAATAAAAGAGCCAATAAGTTTCTTTACATTTTAGGAAGAATCTTTTGTTTTTTAGTAAATCAGACTGCTGTCAGCACTGTGGTCTGTGATTGAGGTTTCTGTGGTAGTGGGAAATGATAAAATAGGCAGTTTTTGTCTATAATCCTTAAGGTGTCTGCTTGAAAAAAAAAATGAAAAGGTCAGCTGCGCTGTCTTTATTAACTGTAGTACTACTGAGTAGATTCAATTTTTTATCTAATTTTCATTCTACCTAAAGTGCATTAAAGTATGCGCTGTTGTTTGAGTCATTGACAGAAAAAAGGAGGAGGAATTCTTAGGTTTGAATTAATTTTATTTAGAAAGACAATTTTTTAAAATTGTATTACTTATTTTTATGATTTTTTGGATACAGGTAAAAATTAGGATCTAGAATAAAACACATTTATGTCTGCGTAATTAAATAAACCCAACATTAATAACTCATTAGCAAAAAACCCTTTGAACAGGTCTAATCCTCTTTCAGGTTCTGATCCGTATTGCCAGAGCGGAGGCTGTGGCTGCACGCCGCTCCACCATCCTCATCGCTGTGCTGGCGACGGAGGAGGACTTGGGTTCCTACGGTGACGCTAAAAGCACCCTGGAGGCGGGCAAGGAGTCAGTGGTGACATTTGGGCCATGGAAGGCTGGGCCGTCTGCCAGAGACCTCCTTGATTGCGTAAAGATGGACATAGAAAGTCGTGGCTACAAAGTGAACATCGAGCCTCACCATCCGGAGCGGGGCTTTCTTTTTAAGACCTATGACATCTTCTACAATCTCACCTTCACCTGGTGGTGATGGGGCACACGTCTGTGTGGTCAGGACAAAACTGTCTGTGGGTTCAAATCAAACAACTGCACTTTATTTCTATATAACTTAAAGATAATAAGCTTCACCTTCTGATAAAAATCAAGAATAAAATTAAATAAATTACACATTTTCTTTCCTTTCTTTTTTAAGGTGGGCAACATTTTGTAAGAAGTGTTGGATGTGTTAATGTCAGATCTACAATCATCCTTTTTTGAAAGGTGTTGCTAACATGACGTAGGTGTTAATGTTTTATTCTTCTGTTTGCTTTGAACGTTTTCACAGCTTTATCGGGGATTTCACTGTATGTGGACGGTATTGCGTCAAACCCATGATATTGGGCAATCCACAGTTGTCTTAGAGGAGAAACCAAATGTGTGAAGAGGCAAAAGATGAACCAGCATCCTGGTTGAAAGCAGAGCAGCTGCCCCAGAGTTGGCCGTGTAACATTTAAAAGCAACCAAACCACATCCTGTGAGATGAGTTTGGGCTATGGGAGGTGGTTACTTACTAACAAAACCTAGATTTAATAAGGATTGCATGTATTTTTAAAATGTGTCATTGTGGGCATTCTGCAGATGTCTAAAGTTTTGATAGGTTGTTTAACATCTTAAGCTCTGAGAGTAGCACCGTTTCCATCTAATTTCGAAACCAAGACATGGCCGTACACCTTGATAAAGGGCCTGGCTAAACATTTCGTAAATTGAGTAGCAGCTAAGTCGCTCATGGTGTTTATGCAGGAGCTGCAAAGGGAGTTTTTTTTTTTTTTAACTAATCGGATGTTTCACTTGAACTGGGATACTGAGAAAGGTTAGCTTTTCAATAATGTTCCAATTTATTAAATGGGTCCTTATTTGTGTGATGCCATATATCAGAAAATGTACATTCATTTAAATAAGCTATACATGTTTAATAAGTGTAAACTAATTATCCGAGTAACAATCATTCAAGTTGTCAACAGCCGTAGAGGTTGGTGACACTTTATTGCAGCATACATAGGAAAAAGTTTACATTTCACTCTCAAAACACCAGTCTATGTATAACCTTTTGCTAGACAGGAATATTGAATATAAATTTCCTTCAGTTATTTATTTTTTTATGTTTAACGAGGTTTATTAGGAACAGATCTACAAAAAATAAAAATTGCTGGTTTAAAAAAACTTTAAATTGTCACAAATCAATACTGGTACTTAAAACTGCAGCAGATAAACTGACTAACAGTCCAACATGGAAAGAAATTTACTGGAAAATAATCGTTAGATATTTTAAAACTCCGTACATTATTTCCAAATTTGATTAAACTAATTCAAACTTGTGCTGGAGGCAGTGCGGAATAGTTGGAGATCAGACTCATGTCTTTTGGGATTGCCCAAAGATAAAGAAATTCTGGGAAGGAATTAGAGAGGAAATTTCAAATATCTTGCATACTGATATTGATTGGAATCCCCGGATCTTTGTTCTGGGAATTCCACCAAATAATTTAAGTAAAGAAGAACAATACTTAT